ACAGTTGTAACCCATTAGAATCCATCCAATATTTTAAATTAGATAAAGCAGATGTTAATTTAAGAAGCGAATCCTCAATGGAATGACTAATGTAATACAATAAAAGGTCATCGGCGTATTGAAGTATTTTGATATATTTATTTGAGCAAATATTATCTTCTAAATCGTATGTATAAACATTATACAGAATAGGACTAAGGACTGACCCCTGCGGAAGGCCTTTTGAAACAGTCCGAGAATAAATAATATTGTCGTAATATATTTCTATTTTGCGTTCTGTTAAAACGTTGAGAATAAAATTTATGAAATGGGAAGGTATACCTAAAGATAATAGTTTAATTTTGAGAATATCTAATAAGACATTATCATACGCAGAAGACAAGTCTACAAAAACAGCTGTCACCGAATCGTTATTAGAGAAAGCTATACGAATATCTGTAGTGAAGATAGCAATATTATCGAGTGTACTTCTACCTTTTCTAAAGCCATACTGAGTATTGGCTAAAATGCCTTTACTTTCTAGAAACCAATCTATACGGTTTTTGATTAAATGCTCCGCTAATTTGAGTAAAACCGAAGACATAGCAATGGGTCGATATGAAGAAGCTTCAGAAGGAATTTTATTTGGTTTTAAGATTGGCAACACTGTTTGACGTTTCCAAGATGAGGGGATATTACCTGAGATCATTGACGAGTTTATTAAATCTAAATAATATTGTAATGTGTTATTGCAAACGTTGGAAAGAAAAGCATATGGGATACCGTCGCTCCCAGGGGCAGAGTTTTTCGTATTTTGGATGATACCTTTTAATTCATATAAACTAAACGGAGCACTAATATCAGAGTCAGTTAAGGAAGAAGAGATGGAGATATTGTTCGAAACCCAGGGAGGAGCTAATTTATCTAAGAAAGGGTTTATTAGCTGTGGTGGTATCATTGATGAAGAGTTGTTATTGACAGCCGATTTGAATCTTTTAATGTTTTGCCAAACTAATGTTGGAGGAGTGTTAGGGGAGATAGAGGTACAGAACCTACGCCACCCTTCAAATTTTTTTTGTTTAAAAAGTTTTTTAGTTTTTGTTATCAACTCTGACATTTTATCATAATTAGATTCAGTCATATTTTGTTTATATATTTTCTCAGCAGCTTTTCTTTGTTTCACAGCTTCCGTACACTCATTGTCCCACCACGGAGGAGATGGAATTTTATTGGGGTAAACTTTTTTAGGGAAGACTTCATTAGCTGCATCTATAAAAAGATTACTCAAAGCTTCAGCTCTTTCAGGCTCAGAACTAGAGTTGATGTTAGGGAGCAAATATAATTTTGACTGAACTGAAGTTGTGAATTTTTCCCAGTCTTTACTGTCTTTATTTGGAAGCCTATGTTTGAGATGGGAGATTCGACAGGGGTTTGAAGGTTTAGAGAAAGGAAAAGTTATAATAATAGGATAATGATCACTACCATATGATGAAGAAAGTATCTGCCAAGAAAGAGAAGATGCAAGACTAGGAGAACATAATGACAGATCAACAGCACTTTTATTTTGATTTGGTTTTGTTACACGTGTAGCTTCACCAGTGTTTAAGATACAAATATTATGACAATCAATGATGTCTAATAATTCATCCCCATAATTGTTTGTATTAGAACTGCCCCACGATTGATGATGGCAATTGAAATCACCTAGTACTAGAAAAGGTTTGGGCAAATTATTTAGAATTAAACGAAGTTCATTTAAAGCAGGAATAGATGGATGGGAAATATATATAGACACAATGCATTTGTTAAAAACCCTAACAGCAATTATTGAAATATCTTTATGGTGAGAGGGCAGAGGAATAGGTGTGAAAGAAAGTGATTCTTTAATGAGTATGGCTACGCCTCCATAGCCATCTGGTCTATCTTCTCGTAAGGTAGTATATCCACTGACTTTAAAATTTAGATGACATTTAAGCCATGTCTCTGATAATACAAAAACAAAAGGATTATATTTATTCACAAGAAAAATTAACTCGCTTTTTTTACTTATTAAGCTTTGACAATTCCATTGCATAATATTAGCTTGATTGTCCATTTTGTAAGCCTTCGATCAAAGTTGAAATTAAAGAAACTGCGTTGGACGGTAAATGAAGGGCTGAAGAAGAATTTGTGTTAAAATGAGTAAGTAATGATATTAATAATTTAATTAAATCTGTGATGGATATCTGAGTTTTATTTTCATCTTGAAGTTTATTATTGAATACACACCCATCTGCAGGAATAGGACTATCGAATTCCTTTATAAGAGCCTTGTGAGCTTCAATATCATAACCCGGTGTTAGTCTAGGTGGAGTGCGAGGTTTAAGAAATACTGTCTTTTTATATGAAGAAGTAGGAGAATTACTTTTATGGTCTACATTTGATGTTGAATTTTTATATAAAGGAGTTTTAAAAGAATTAGTGGAGACAACATTGGAATATGATTTTGAAACTTTAGGAAAAGATTTTGATGCTTCTACATAGGATGTGCAATTATTTGCCATATAGACCTTAATTTCTTTTTGTCGAATATACTCTGGACAAGATTTGTTTGTAGCAAAATGGGATCCTTCACATAAGCAGCAAAAAACATTACTGTCTTCCTCTGTTTCACAAGAATCACCCGAATGATTTCCCCCACACTTAAAGCATCGGGGTTTAGACCTACACTGGTTTTTAGTATGGCCAAAGCGACAACAATAGTAACATTGTATTGTTGGATAAATGTACAGATCTACTGGCAAAGCATTGAAACACATGAAGACACGTTTGGGTAAAATTTGCCCATCGAAAGTAATTACAACTGATTGTGTGGGCTTCCATATAACCGAACCTCCTTGGGAAACTTTATAATTGATACGTCTTACTTTAATTATCTTGCCACATCCCATTGGGACAGTAATATTTTCGAGAACTTCTTCGGGTGTCCATTCTGAAGGGACACCTCGTACAAGACCCATTCTAGTGACATTGAAAGTAGGTATAAAAGCTTTCATTTTATTAAATTCTAGTTTTTTGTTAGTGATGAAAGAATTTGCAGACATATAATCAGAAAAAGCTAGTGAGACTTTATTGCGGCCAATAAGTTTTACACTACCGTTGACAATATTTTCAAATTGGTTATTTTTTAAAAACCTTCCAAAAGTAACAGGATGAATTGAAGTATTATCATGAAGGTCAGTTTGTATTTTTTGCACATGAACAGTAAATGGGGAAATATCATTTTTATTGTAAAGAACGCGGCCAATTGGTGTTGGTGTGACTGTGGGCTCTGTAGTAGCAGATGATGGAATAGAGACATTAAAATCTTTGTCAACTGATTGTGTCTTTTTTTTAGTTACATTTGAAGTAGACTCTTTTCTTGGTGAAAGATCAAAACAATTGCAATCATTTTTTGAGTCAGAACTATGATTACGGCGACGTTTTTTATTGCAGTGCTTACATACATGCACGCGACTCCGTTTGAGTGATCGTCCTGATAATGAACCGTCGGTTTCCATTCCAGATTCATTAGAAACGGTAACAAATAGTCCAGCCGGGGGAACATAGTCCCCCGGCGGTTCTATGTCCGGAGGCTCGTTCATAAAATAAAACGTAAAAACTTACCAATAAACTGCTATAATACACTACAAACTAATACTAAATAAATTTAAAAGTAACTAAGATGAAAATATACAAATCTGATCACCAATACTTAATAAAATTAAATTAAATTCTTTTCAAACTCGAAAAACGCGCCCACCAAGTTCGACGTTTCCCGCCTTTTCTCGAAGCATAGATTATAAAAATCAATGATTCTTTTAAACCATAAATATAAATACTTGTTTATACCTTGCGCGTACCTGGTGATTCTACGGAAATTAAATTTCCAGTTTGATACATCCGTCATTATTATTCATCAAAAATAATTTAATCTGATTGATATTTTCATTTTTGAAAAATAATGATAAATTCTGCAAAGTAACTCACGTAAACTATTTTTAAAGCTGAAATCTGTGGTTCATAAAAGCAAAAACAAAATTACAAAACTTTGGTAAGTTTTTTAATTATAGGAGACACGAAGAACTATAAAAAACCTCTACGTCATAAATCATAATACATCAGAACAAATCAAAAATTAATTTCATAGATAAATTGACTCTTAGGATGCATGAATGCTTAGACTAAACAAAGACCAATAATATAGTTGAATATACCTCACATGGGTTGACGCAAATGTTTCAAAGTTACTAGCGATATCTACCTACTTTAATTTCAAGACTACATATTCGTTTTTTCATAAATACTTGCACATGGTTAATTAAAAAAACGAGCATTATCTCAGTCGTAAAAAAATACTGTATGTAAAATATTCTTAATGAAAAAGGGATTCGAATCCATGACCTTTTGCAATCCGGGTGACTGCTCTAACCACTGAGCTACCTAGGACGTAATAGGATTGATGAATCTTTCAAGCTACTACAGAGCGTATTCTCATCAATCCACCCAAACAGCCAAAAGAAATATTTAAACTTTCGATAAAGATGAAAATTTGTTATAATTATTATATTTGAGCAATTTCGCATTTACAATGCTGAAGAATTAATCAAATATAATAATTTATATAACCTTATTTACTAGAGTAAGAACTTTTAAGAAAATTTGTCGCTATAAATACAAGGGCAGATAGGTACTCCATTATCATAGTCCGCTTAAAAGTCATAAACAAGATCATATAACAGGCACCTGCAATTATAATGCAAGCATTGAGGCGGGCGGTGTGCAGACGCATCTGATAATCTCACGCGCAGCCCAATAGAGAACACAGCGCACCTCGAAATAAAATAAAATGAACATAACGTAATAATGAAATGACTTGCACTGCGAGACCGAACTGCGAGACGAGGCGGGAAGGATAGGGGGCGCGGTGGACGCCTGCCCCTTCTACCCGCCCGCACACCCGCAGTCAAGCGAGAGGCAACTGCCAGCCAGCTGCGCGTCTTGTGTTTTTCTGATATTGCGGTGCGGTTGACGTTTCTTTCCGTTTATTTTTTTTGACAATTTACAAAAACTAATGGGCAAACGCGTGTGAATAATTATCAATGTTTACATGTCTGTACTGACTAATATCGTAATCAATGCAAACGTTTCAAAACAGTGTCATTATGAACGGTATTCTTCACATGATCCCAGTACCTTTTGTCTGTAAAACAGTGAATTAGACGAGATTGGTGTGGTGTTTGTTACTTCCCTCCTGTAAGGTTGCTTGTGGGACCCAACAGTGTGACCAGTGATTGTTGTCGTGGCCGGTTTCCGTGGAGGAAACTTTCGAAACGTGAATAAAATAGTGGTTAATGCTTGCATAGCGAATGCGGGCTTTGGTTGCAACGCATTCCATAGGGAAGCAAGGTGCCGCCAATAAGCATTTTACGGTAAGTTCTATCATGAAGGTCATCGTACTTTGACACATATTGTCGAGGTTAAATTGCCCCATCTTTTGTAGTGTAGGTACCCATACGGAATTTACGCTATTAAACTTCAGAAAGTTCGTAGATTGATTGGTAACAAAGTAAAAAACACTCAAACGTTCTTTTTGAAGCAAATCTTATAATATCTGCCTTGTTAAAACGTCGATTACCTATTATTCATATCAAATCCTTAGCAATAAAATAAGTTACTTTTTATAAATGATAATTTTGTTGAATTAAAAATACTTACCTTGAACTAAATGCAAATGATTTTGACATGACATGTCAACGAGAGCTGTGTAATTTGTACATGAAACATTATAGCTATCACTATTCAATCTCTTAAAATTTTGATACTGTTCCTATTTTAATATCTTAATTGACCTCTTATTTGCCCTCAAACAAAAATTTGGAATTTTTTTAATTACTCTTGTAATTTTGTTAAAACTATATCCCTGTAGATTTATCTATGCGTCAGAAGCACTATCTGGCCCTACCTTCATTTCATTATAGATTATTGAAAAATGCATTCCTTTCGAGTTATATTAGGATTTTGAAAATAGATGATTATTTTGATTTCAGAGATCAGTTGTCAAATTAATTCAGACAAGTGTATGTATAATATAGAACCACATGGGTGAAGCTACTGTTGGAAAGCTAGTAGACTGTAAAGACTTATAATTCTGATATTTATAATAAAATATATATATGCATATGAAAAGCTGCTATTATTGAGCCGCCAGCCGCCATTTCATATTTGATCTTTTGAATAAAAAATGTAAAATAAGAATTGAATAACTTAATATTATGAAATAATTAAAAAGTACTATGCAAAATGTATTTCCAGTAAAATATAGTTCAAAACCTGATATTTCTAGTAAGATTGCTACTTCGGGCCAATGTTGTTAGAGTCGCATCGGGTTGGTTAATTTTTTAGCTTAGACTGAATACTCAATACTCAAACTAATAATTAATATTATAAATATCAATTGATACATATCCTTTGATATTTATCAGCAACCCTGGTAAAGACATGAAAATTCCTTTGAAAATACCTTTGAACATTTTCCCTTTTACAGAAAGATTTGTCAGTGCTCCTTATAGGTATTTTCTATTTTCAGGTAAAACAATCTTTATGAACAGAAACTGCTTAGTGTGCAAAGCATTTGAATTTGTACTTAACAAATTGACTATGAAAATTATAGTAAAACAAACAGAAATAATATGATAATTAAAATAGAAACAATTATAATTATTACAATTACATGTAATATGATCTTATAAAAATTAACCTAATTAATTAAATATTAAAGTATCTGTCAATTTCTGAATCTGGAAATTCAGAATATTGTAAATATAAGAACTAAGAGATTGTAGGATTTATATTTGTAATGGGTTGACAAGACACCTATATTAAAAACTAACTTTCAACTGGTTTTGTTCAAGAAAATCAAGTCCAAAAAATTGTATTTTAAAGTTATATCCAAACTAGTTAATATCCAAACAACAAATTGTTCAAGCATGGGAAGGTTATTAACCATCCATAAGGAATAATGAATAATATAGAGTATTGCTTGAGTTAAAACAAATTTCATGATTTTCTTAATAATAAAAAAAATACAAACTACCAATTGAATTGACCATTTATTTTTTCATTTCATTTCGACGAAAATTAAATACACTGTGTGTTGCTTAGAAGTCAAAAGTTATGTGACCGAGAACTATTACTATAACAAAATATTATTATATATTATAGATATTAACATCAAACACACTAAGAACAAAGGCAAAAGGTGCTCATTATTCCTACTTCAAAAACAAATTATTACTATTGTATACAAATTAATATCTACCTGTTTTTTCTCAGTGTTATATATTATGAAAATCTTTCTCCAAGCTTTATATTTTTTATTCAAAATTCTATTCCAAATTTGGCTTGAAAATTTTGAACTCCCATAGTAAGACACAAATGTATATATTAATTAAGTTATCCACAATTACTTCTCTTGTAAAATACATAACTTGCAATACTATAATAAATACTGGAGTTTGATCAAGATTGGTAGAATCATTTCTTTTTATTGAAATCCTGATTTCTTGTTTTGATTGGTAGTAAAAATTTTATTTAAATACATTTTAATAGAAGATTTCTGTTGAATGTTGTTATGATGGCTAAACTCAACAAAAAAAATGTGTTGCTTATTCTAGTCTTATTTTTGCATCAAGGAAAATGCTTTAAGAACGGTCCCTGTGTGTTTCCAACCCAAACTTGTGAAAAATGAAGTTGCCATTTAATCATATACTGCTATGACATGTTAATGATGTTTCTTGTTTTAAGAAACTATTCTATATGATAACAAAGTACATTCTATTAATTCTTTTTTTCATAAAGTTATAGCAATTTCATGTGTCTATAAAATATATTTTTAAGAGGATTGAATTGCAATAGTAACTTTGTGTCTGTTAAATCGAAAATTGACAAATTGCTTTTTTTTACACAAAAGTATAGTCTCAAATTCTTGCCTCTTCATAAGACTTGCCCACAAGGAGACGGCTTAAAGTTTCTCAAAGTGTACTCCACAGAGCCTAAGCACTAACCAAAACATTATATTGGGAGTCCCCGAAAATGTTAGTCATATTTCAGCAAAATCATTATTATGATTAGCTTACTCTTAGGGTTCAGGCCTTGCCTGTGGATTGTAACCGATTCAATTAAGAGAATTGGCCTACTCCCCTTTAACCCACCTCGTGGGCTCAACTGTGGAGGACTTTGAGACAACAAAATGTGTGGTCACCCATCCTTTGACTGGCCCTTGCTTAAGTTGTTTTACTTCCACGTTGCAGACAGAATCCGCTATCCACCTCTTCTAAGTAAAATTTATATGTACAATTTAGATTAGATTATAAATAGTTTAAATAGGATGAAGTTCTCCTAGAAATAAGAGTCAGAAATAATAAGATCCAAAATGCTATCTGAAATACTACTACTAACTATTTAACACTACAATTTCATTTTTGTAGTAACAAAAATATGTACCTACTTATTTTCTGAACAAAGGGATCAGTAAAACAAACAAAAAGTAAGACCACCATTATTAACACAAGCTTTTATCTCATACTTTATTTTCTTAAATCTCTTCTTTGTAACACTAGTGATAAGAGTCAAAACGTTTCTTTTTTTTTTTGTTACATTAATACTCTTTCATTTTTTGCTATTATATCTTTTTGGTGTTGAAAAGGGTGAAGATTAAATGGTGCTCACTAAAAAATAAGTAATAATGGCTAAAAACTTTTCTGTTCGTATCAGTATTAGTGTAGGTAGTTCATAATTTCATTATATTATTATCAAGAAAATGCAAATGAACTCTGGCGGAGGTTTTCTGTAGATTATTAATTAATGGGCTCCCGACTCAATAGCATTTTCTTGAATAAATCTCTTTGAGATAAGTATTATTTATCACTTTTTTAAAGTATGAAGTTGGTTCTATTTTTATTGATATTTTTTTTATAATAGGTAACACTAAAAATATTAAATATTATAAACCTACCTAAATAAAAATATTCAATGTAGTGAAAGTCTTACAAAAAGGAGATTTTATTTATTTGCTTGACATATATTTTTAATCTAATTATTTAGATGTTATCAGTCCATTAAGCTGCCGAATAAAACAAGAATTTTAAAAAATCGGCTGAATTTTTTGCCATAAATATTATTCGGAAATTATACATGTGCTGGTATGAAAAGCATATTTTCTGACACACACTTGTCACTATTGTATCTTAGCTCAAAGACTAACGCTCCAATCGGTAACAAAACCGTGGTGATATGAATCTCGTTACGCTAACGGGTGGCTGAAGTCTAATAGCAATGTGTCAATGACAGGACTGAGCAACCTTCGGAACGCATATGGCTTTATCAGTGTAAATTGCAGCTCTCTAGTTCACAAAAAAAAAATTAATGTCGACCTTTTTAATTGGTATAAGATTGAGGATACTGAGTTTGAGTGACAGATATTTAAAGTGGTTCATTTTAAAAATGTTTCGAATGGTTTTTTTTATATCTTTGATATATACATTGTGAAATGACGACTGGGTAAAACAAAAGGAATTCTATTTACTATTAGATAATAGAAAAATATAAGAAAAGTGTTTTTTTACTTCAATTGAAATACGAAATGGCTTAGATAATATTCATTAAAGTTCCTCAACTTGGGGGCTCGCTACATAACAGTTTTGTAGAAAATGTCACATTTCAACTCAATTAATTGCCATAATTAATTGATTACGCAAATAAAATGTCTCGTCATCCCTATTGTAGCTTTTGGCTCTTTCGCTTTAATTTTGCCGACCCTGGTGTAGGAGGATAACCGATACTTATTATTGTATAATTATCAATATATTTTACGTAACATGAAAAAATCTTGGCCATATATTAGTAGCACCTATGTAAACTAAGCAGAACATGCTTAGTTTACATAAGTTAGCCTGAAATTGCACATTAGTAAGCACATTAGGTTATTTATTTATTGTTAAGCAAATGGCGGACTTAATACCGAAGGCGTTCTCTAGCAGTCAACCAAGTTCATTCTCTTTCAACAAAGAAACGTTTCAAATTATTCAAAAAAATATGACAGTTTTGTATTAACCAAGTTCGCAATTCCACTTATTTTATGATTGGCAATAACATTTCGAGTACTTCCCCTTTTGACATAGCTCTTGTTAGTAGATCACAGAATAACAAAAATATAAACGACATTTTTTTTAAAACACCATTATACTAAATTGGGTCCCAGGAAGATAATGTAGTTGCAAAATGCAATTAGGTAGGAACATTACAATTAGTAGAATCGGTACTTCCTAAGTGCTGTTTGAATGTTAAGTAATTGTTATGTAAGGTATACTTTATTATTATAGTAGAGTAAACGCTCTCTTTTTCTTTCCTCAAAGTACATCAGTTATCAGTTCCTTTTAACAGAACTATTCAAGTATTTATGGTCTATTTATTGTAGTAATTTTGCGCACTTTTCTATTATTGTTATTATAATCCAAGCTATTGTTCGTATGGCTATGAAGATATGCATTATTATTAAATTGTTTAACGCAAACTATTTTTATTTTTATATTTCGTACAACTATCAGCCCTTAAAACAATAATTTACGGGTCGATTTTCGCAAAATCCTTGTTAATAGGGCCTACGTCGTTAAAAGAACCCCCATGCATAACTTTAAATTTTAGTTCTAATAGTTTTTGAGATTTCGTGATGATAATTAAGTAACTTTTCCCTTTTATATGATTAACTATAACTTGTCGTAGCAAAAACAGCTGACTCGATTGAAAAGATTAGTGTCAAAATATTTATACTCCAATAAATTCTAGCTTTCCGTCCGGGACTTCGCCCGCGTGGTCCCTAGGGAATTGTGTATTTGGATATCGATTCATATCATGACACGGATTACAATGACAAATTGAATAGTAAACAATGGTTACCATGGTTACGTTTTAATTCCTTATACAAACTTCTACAAAGAATTTTTAAAATCGGTCCAGTAATTTAGAAGCCTATTTGTTACGAACAATCAAATCTTTCCTATTTATAATATAAGTACATAAAAAGTCGACTACATATATGAATCAGAGAATTAATAAAAGTTTTAAAACTTTTGGACCTGGAAAGATTTTGTAATTTTTCTTTTTTAGGTTTTGTAATATACAAATTTTACCAGTTGCGGGCTCACTGGTAAAACTCATGTGCCCGAAATTGGTATTCGAACTAATGACTTTTCGCAATCCGGACTAAGATAATCAAAAACAAATACAAATATATCTGTGAGATATAATATCAATATAGCATTGAATGAATGCAAAATATATGTCAATATTTTATTGTCAGATATGATGGCAATTCTTTCGTAATTCACAACATAAATTTTAAAACACAAACGTTGGCTACAGTAATTTTTAAACTATCGACGCATGAAGGTTGCACTTGTACTGGTAACTGTGACGATTGTTGGTGTGACATAACAATTATACAACAGTGATAATAATCGTTCAAATGAATTTACCTTAAACAATTGGATAGTGAGTAGCTCGGTGGCGTAGTGGATTAGCGCCGCGGCCCGTGATCGTAGTCGTAAAGCAACTTTCACAAGGGTCGGTCACGGGATGGGTGACCAAAAAATTATTATCTCGAGCTACTCCGTGCTTCGGAAGGCACGTTAAGCCGTTGGTCCCGGCTGCATTTGCAGTCGTTAACACCCTCCAATCCGCATTGGGCCAGCGTGGAGGGTCATGGCCCATCCTCCTTAACCATCCATAAGGAAGGCCTGAGCCCCTGCAGTGGGGACGTAAAAGGGCTGATGATGATGATGAATTGGATAGTTCATTCGTTATAGGCAATAGGCGAAGATTCAGAATCGTTTTAAATGCTAGAATTGAAATGTGTATGATGAGGTATTTCTTATTATATGAGGAATGTAATATTGGACAAACTCGTCATGGTTTTTGTCCAAAGAATAAAGTAGATACTTTTTTCTTTGCGCTGGCGCTTTATACTAAACAGGTGTTACAGTAGAGATTAGACTACTTGGAATTGTTGCTTTTACTTCGTTTATTGGGAGACTATTAAGTAAACATTTGTTTATGTTGTTTTAAATTGTAAAAATTATAGAAACTGAACAAACAGAAATAAAAAAGACTGTGCAATCACATTGAACAAAAAGTGAAATGAAATTATAAATAATTAAAAAATAATAATAAAAAGCAGGGCGCGTAATTTTTTTTTTTTTTTTTTTTGTAGTGTAGGTCCATCCTGGACAATATTCTCTATCAGATAAACTATGTTAAATAGTTGTTTAAAGATAGGTAATTCCTCTTTAATAACAAATCGTCAAAGAGTTTTTGTTGTGATTTATAATAATTATCTAGGTATATCCTATTAATATTATAAATGTGAAAGTTTCTTTTGTTTGGGTGTTTGTACGTCAATCACGCCGAAACTACTGAACGGATTTTGATAAAATCTGGTATACAGATAGGGTGTTAGCTGACTCAGATAATAGGATACTTTTTATCCCACATATTTTCCTAGGGTCCACGCGGGCAAAGCCGCTGGCGAAAGCTAGTTATCAATATAATTATCACTGGGAACCCTGCACTGAAAACTCAAAATTGATTTATGGGCAACGACTTTTTTTTGCTGAATCTTTGTGAACATATTATTAACAGTTGTAATGCACGTATTTTATTTCACTCAAATATACCTACTGTGATTTTTTTCTGGGTCAAATTTCACACGCCACGATATGTCCATATTAGATGCTAATTATTATTTATGCTAACCGTGAAAACCTTTTATTGGTTATCTGTAATAGTAAAATTTAGTAGCTCGATGGCTATCGATGGATAAGCAACTTTCGGTAGGGTCGGTCACGAGATGGGTGACAAAAAATATTATCTCAAACGATGCGTTAAGCCGTTGGTCCGGGCTGCATTTGCAGTCGATAATACCCTCCAACCCGCATTGGGCCAGCGAAGGTCATGGCCCTCTTTTTATGAGCTGTTTACTGTTGGCCTCACATGGCCTTTACAGTGCAACCGGACTAAGTGAGGGCGAGATCATTAAGACCTCAAGCCGAGAAGACGATCGTCCCGGAGGTTCTTTACTGGGAGAGCATCACCCCATTAGGTGATATCTCCGCTCCGTTGTAGAGCCGCCCTGGACTCTCGTATCTGATGCTGGCGGTCGGGATGACTAGAGGGCGCCTCAAGAGGTTCGGATCTCGGCTCTAGTTTTCCCGTGTCGCATCCAAAAGAAAGGCCTGAGACCCTGCAATTGGGACGTAAAAAGGCTGATGATGAAATAGCATAATAATAATCCAAAACGTACATACATATAAGTTACTAAGAATATAGATAAATAAACAAATAAAATTCAAAAATTCAAATTCAATGATGACATTACAGGGAGACGAGCGGCGCGGGTGGCGGGGCGGGCGGCGGGACGCTGCTTGCCATGAACGCCACCCAGGTACAGTGCGAGCCACACGACTCAGTCGTACTCATCAAGTGTAAGTTTTTTTTTAAAATAAATATTAGACAACATAGCATACATTACTCAGATTCCAATATAAGTAGCTAAAACACCCGTATTATGGAATATTTCAACAACACCCAGACCCGAGACAATATAAAAAAGTTCATTTTTTCCTATTGACCCGACCGGGAATCGATTCCGAGACCTCAGAGATGGCAACACCTTGAAACCGGCGTGCGAACCACGGCTACGGAGGTCGTCAAGTCGGAGGAGTATCTCCCACTTGTTAAGGAATAATCAACGATACAACTGTAATTTACTCAAATTAAACTGGTCCATTATAATGTTTATCAAATTCCAAATTTTAGTATCCAGAAATCATCTACGCATATCATCTGGGGTATCAAAATATTAAAGATTTATATAAAAACATATTCTAGACTAGGGGTCGACGCTATTTCAATTTCAGTTGCTGCTCTTAAGTAACAAAAATTACAAAAATTAATCATGTTACTGTGTAAATATAAATAATACTAAATATAATATAAATATAGTATAAATAAAAATTTAAACTGAAACTTTCAGTGGCTCTTTAAACTCTTTAAAAAAATTACTCTAGTTTTTGGCTTTTTCGTCTCACAAGGTTGTTAACCCCAGTTCTTGACCGCTCTTATCAAAAAAGAGATTAATTTACTTAATATTCAAAATAGTATAATTATGCTCTGTATCTAACTAATATCCTTCAAATCTTAACGTGAAATGGCAACCGTCATAGCCCATAATAGTCGCCCACATATAGCAGTTAGCGGAATGCTTTTAATATACATGTATGTACTTTACTCTAGTCTTGTTGCATACAGTCTGTATATTTTTGGCGCGGTCACCACTACCGAACGTGTCCACGGACGCCATGTTAGCTGCCTCTGGCACCTCTACTCTGTTGTTTGCTTACTCGTAATTCATTTTTATTTCTCAGTCGATTTCTTTTCGTAAACAGAATTAGACCAATCTGTCGATGCATCGAAGCTTGAAATAAGATTTCTGCTTAGAGACAATGTTTACGGATAGGCCAAACATTTGCATGCGGGTTGAACATAATCCAGAGTTTATATTGTCTTTTAAAATCAGGTCAACTTTTGTTTCTATATAAACTATTAAATAGAACGAACTACAGCAAAATCATTTTGTGTTACGGAATTTTCCAATTCCTGTTTCAGTTTTATTTGTAATCTTTCACTATTGTTATAATGTTCATATTGGTCTGTGCACAATTTCAGTCGTTTTCATACATTATAGATAGGTGTGTATCCATTTCCTAATGCCAATTCGTTCTCCTAAAGACTACTGTTTTATAGTCCAGCAAGTTTTTGATCGATAGTTTATTAATTGCATTGTACCTCGTTTGCTACGCATATTCTTATAGTACGTCCTAGTTTTAAAGCATATCAGTTCCTGGTATATCCTGACATGTTATCTTGACGTACCTTTATTCAAACCTTATTATTTGAAATTGGTGGACGATGGTGTTAATACTGTTAGTAACCTCAATGTTTTCTAATAAAAATTACGTAGTGTATTATTACTCCTAACACTTTATAATGTCCATTAAAAAGAAATATGACTCTAGGACTATAACCAAATATTTATATTTCTTAAATAAATACAGTTTATGATGATATTATAAAGCCTTCTTTTTCGAACTCTTTATAAAATAATGGTGATTTTTGCTATTTATGTATCCCATGAAACTAAGTATCAGTATGTTAGCTATCCGAACTAATATTTTGAGACATTTCAGTTTGACTTCTCGGTAAAGCATTTTATGCCATCACTTTGCTGCGTCTTGCCATTTCTAGAAATAGCTACAATTGAATACTATTCCGGTCTCCCAAAGTTCCCCCGTTGCGACGCTCTCAATTGATGCGGGAGGCACACATTTACAATTAGCTTTGTTTGTGAAGCTAATAATAATGACTGTACAAATGCGCGTGTTCATGTTTTATTAATTTTGGGTTCCCTAGGCAAGCGTTGGCTTCCTTAAAACTAGGTAAAAAAACTTGTCTCATGATACTCTTGGAACAATGTTTATATCTTTTATAAGCCTTTATAGTGTCCTCAAATTCTTTGATCGTTTCAGCGTCTACAGCAGTTTTGGAAATACGTATACCAAATTAGGTAAACGCCGTTTAAAGTAATTGAAGCATTTGTTAGTGGAACACGACCCATACGTTTTTAGTTTTACAGTTTCCGTCTGTAGTTAAATATCATCATTCAACGAGTGCCATGTATCATTGGGATTTATCTCGCGATAGATTGTACGGATCCCTTATGTTCTTAAACTGACGTGAACTATGTGGCAGGCCATTTATTATTTCAGCGCGGCAACTGAATAGGGCCAGCAATTGCCAGAGGCAGTCACCGATTATGTTAATCCGGGTTAGTTTTGAACGGGTCTTGCACTACGCTGCACGTACAATGCAACTCTTAATTCGTTATGCAAACTTGACGTCGGTATGTGTGTGTGATGTGCAACGATGCAGTTTACTTTAGTGATCGTCGTAAACAGAGTGAGGCTATGTCCCGTGATAGAGGAGCCGGCCAAGTCGATAGGTAACTGGGAACTCCTTTCTGATTTATATTTTTTTATTTATTTTTATTATTACCATCTCTGTTTGTATGCATACATTGAATCTACCCAAACACTTGTCAAATGTGACTTGATATTGTAACCTAATACATATAACATTTGAATACTGCTAATAGCATAAGATAGGTACTTCAATCACTCTTTGATTTAATTTTCTGCAATCAATTTTGAACTTAATTATCATGTCATCAAAGCAAAATTTATCATACTCGTATAAAGAAAATGAGTAGTATAAAAGTACAAGTATTTCGACACATTCGTTGAAAACAGAACACAGAATATTTAATGAAAATTTCTTTATCGACCACAATTGAATGATAAAAGCAATTCCAAGTTTTATTAACATTGTAAACAAACGCCGAACTGTTCAACCATTAAATTTTATGATATCATTGCCATCTAAACTGATATCACTAAATATTTTATCAAACCTGAAACTGCTTCAATTTTTATTATTCCTTTTAATTAGCATCTCCTTTTCTTGTTACTTGGATTTGCATAATAGTCGTCCTTTAGAGGCGCAGTAGTGTAACGGTGTTCATTTTGTCCTAGGGTCCCGCATCTAAACTTTTTGTCTGTGACCCTTAAGATAATTTCTTGAAATTTTGATTAACACGATATGCTTTTTCTGAATGTCAGTTCGTGAAAATTCATCCGGCAAGATCGAGATATCACCGCCATCTTTCATTCATTTCATTTTCATTTTACATGTAGAAATTAGTTTATACACTTGACATTGGCAGAATTGTGCGAAATGCGCAAATAAGCCATTTCTAAAAGAAGGAGAAGAGAACGTGATATTTAATTTAATTATATAACAGCCAATTGCATAAATGTCCAATAATTTTCATTAGTTTAAAGTGACTTTACAAATTTGACATTCATTAGAGCTTAAAGGCGTCATTTAACGTTAATGGCTGTGTGTGCAACTGACCGTAAATACAATATAAATCAGTAAAGAAACATGTAAACGTAAATCTGTACGAAGTATCTAATAAGTTCTACCTATTATTAAACTCAGAAACGGGGTATATAATTGTTTTAAATCCATACGAACATAGTTATCAAGCCTAATCGGCCGTTTCATTTTCTACCAACACCTAAGCACCGAACCCGTCGCAGTAGTATGTATAATCTACTTAAGTGGGTGAACACGGAACAAGTGCCTCGTGTGTGGTGTGTGGCAAGAGCCACCGAAACAATATTGTAAGTGACATCCTTAACCATCTGAATAAACGTAATTGAACAATTTCTATCAACCCATTGTCCTTATCTACTCGTGCTACTCGGACGAATTCGATGCCACAATTGGTTGCAGCTGCTAATCATTGTTAAGAAACAGTAAATTCAATGCCCGCGGGAACTATGTAGGTCGTCGATGTATGTACGTGATACGAATATTCCTGACAGTTTTACTATTAACAATTTATTTGTCATTGTTGTGACAATTCGCCATTTTATTAGTCAGTCAATAATTTCGTAGAATTAAGTGCTGTTACTGACGTCAGCTTGCAAAAGCTGCAGTTGAATAAACCCACATGATCCCGCACACGGCGTCTTTGGAATTGTGTCAAGCTCATAATATCGTATGCGACGATTGTTCGCTCGCAACGCCCTATTTGTTGCATTCTTATCTAAAAGTTGTAATACGGTCTCATGATTCATAACAACCTCTGGAACAATGATAGTACGAGTATGAGTGACGGGGCGCGGCCGGCGGTGTGGCTCAGATCTCAGACCGCCACGCGAGATCTCGCAGCCCGATACTGGCTGACCGCAAGTTAAACCAACTCTTGTTTTGGACTTGCTGTTTACCTGTCCATACGATAGGTTAGTGTTCCATCTAATCAGGTTATCGCTAGCATTATTTAACGGTAATAATTCCATAGATATTTACGATTACAGAAGACCCAAGAAAGCTTCATATTTACAATCGAATGTTGAACGTTCAATTGCAACAAATTTATCGACTCCAAGAATTCTATCGCTCAAATTAAAATGATTTATTGTTATATAGTGTCGCTATCTAGAACAGTGAAAGGGAGGTCATCGCTGTTCAGGATGTGTACATCTTAATTCCAGCAGTTGATAAGAGAATCTGAAACGTAGCACTAATGAATACCTACAGGTCATTAAACTCATGTTCAAATTCTGACTTTGTTTAAGACTTATTTTTTAAATGTTTTAAAATGTTGTATTTTTTTCTCTTTATTTCGCCACAAACAGACATTAAACAACATTTTAATGTTAAAGATATTACAATATATTGTAGACAATGAGGACCCATAATTACTGAAAACAAAAAAGAACAGCGTGCGTGCGTACGTATATCTATTTGCAACTGAAATGTTTAAGTTCCAAAATGATATTTTTTTCTCCAAACATATCAAAATAGCACTCGTGTTGCGTGCATATGCACACAGTATATATATATCAGTTATTGTTAAATTTAGTAATATAGGTACCATTAAGTTATAATTGAGCCTACAAAAGTAATAACTCATTATTAATTTGCTTTTACATTTGAACTTAATCATAATAACTGTCGTCATTCAAGTTTTTACATCATTTAATGGTTCTTTATTTAATCGGGCACTAATATGGCCAAGTATTTTGTAATCTATAGAAGTCGTTAAATCGCCGTGAACGCTTCGTCTTAGTGTTAAGGCCGGCTTCACTACCGAGCACAATTAACTAGAATCTTATTACCAATGATATACCATAGTACATTGAGAACTCCCGGCTAGTGTGTTACGAAACAGCGTGCTGACAACACGTGATTTCAGTTAATTACCGCGATAGAGAGAAAAAAAAAAGAATTATTCAAACTCGTTGTCGGCTTTGTCAATGTTTAATAAAGCCTCGCCTCTGAAGTGTTGTGTTTTTAAAACAGGACCGTGATCCCACGGCTGGTTCGTGTTGTGTGGAAATGCTAAACGATGTGATGGAAATTTGGTTTGCACTGAGATTTGAACAGAACTGTGATTGTGATACGATGAAGCGCACCAAGAGGAGTGATAAAATGAACAAAATTAAACACAAACTGATAAAGAAACATAAATTAAGTAGGTATATAATTGTCGCTTTACCGGTTACAATAACTTTTTATGTGCCTTTGTTTCTACGTTTAACTCATTACATGTCACATGTTGTGTAATCCAAGGATAAGTAAGAATTACGTACGTTATCCATCATTCATAAGTTATTCCGTCTTATACTAAAGTTAATTGATTTTTTTTTTTATCACAGAATAATATTCGGATAAATTTAATAAGATATAACCATTATTTTGCAGTAGTTGCAAAAATAAATGCATTTTTTTCTAATGCGACTGGCTTTATTGTTAATCCTTCATCTCTGATAAGTAATTGATTATCTCTTAAATGAAACTGCGACGTGTTCAATGTATTTAAATGTCAATTAATAATTGTAACAAATAACAACGTGGTCGGTAGTAAGCGTGGCCGCTAAGACAGCCCGCCTACACTGTTTCGTCGCTTCAAGGTCTGTCGGTCGTTTAGACTAATATACGACTTTAAAAGGTTCCAAGAGAGTGTGCATAACCTTTAAATCCTTAAATATTTGCAGTGTGCGTCATTTTATTTGCGAAAATTTCATGCTCGATGCACACGAATTATGCCGCGCCTCTGTTTTTACGCTTAATTGAAACTAATTTGTGATCGTTATTGTGTACGTGTGTACTGTGCTTAATTTTGTCTGCTGTTAATGTCTGTTTGACTTCTACGAATTGGTCTACATTACGATAATGTTACTAATTGATATGAAAATTAACTATCATCTAGATTAAAAGCTGGCATATTATCAAAGTAACGCAAATATTTGTTCCGTTTTTTATTATTATGGCAAAAATAACATGTTCGATTGATTTTTAACGACGTCAAAAGTAGGATGAAACAACTAGTTCATAGAATGATAATACCGATTTGACTTTATTTTGTTTACAACAACATTTATTTGGCCTACGGTTTAGATGCTCTTTCTCTATTAGTGTTATTAATAAACGAGGTTTAACGTTAGAGTAAATTTACGCCGAGACTGCACTTAGTATAAGTCAAAATTCATATTATTAAACAGAGACTTAGCAAAGGTTAACCTAGTACTAGGTTCTACGGGAGTAATATTTACTCCTAGAAGGCAGTAGGTTTGCTTATTCTCTGTATAATAAGAATTTGGACTAATACTTAAATCGCAATTTTGGCGAAAATTTACTCTGACGCTAAACCTTGTTTATTAGTAACACTGTATGTGTTTTAGCAAGATTGTTTTCTTTTTGAGCAACATTAATAAATGAGCCTATAAACAAACTGATAGTTTGTTTTCTAAGGCCCATTGTTCGCATTTCGCCAATCATGAAAAGGTTGCGAGGTGTAATTTTAGTCATCTATAAGCGCCACTTATTTATAAGTTAATTCATCATTTACTTCGTTCTGCTTTTGGATTGTCCACGTCTCACGTACAATGTATCATTATCGTAAATTACGTTGGTACTATCATCATTAAAATGCCGAGCCAGCTTTTCCAACAATTCAGGTTCTATTACACCAACTAATTTAGTTAAACCAACAAGGTTATAACGTTCGTATATGTTACTAGTTACCCCTTTAACGCACAATTACGCGTTCTACCATGAAACAAGCACCTGACTGTTATTAGCGAGCAATGTTATAATAAAAAATGGCCTTGTACATTTCGAACTGTATCCTCTAAACCTTTTTCTATGTAACAAACGGTTCAAAACGTTCGAGTTGAACTTGACTAATTGAACAAACTCATTTGCTTTTATAATTTCAGTCACATGTTTTTAACCGCATAGAAATGTATTATGAATTTTAATAATTCCTTTGTGTTTTAACACAATAAGTATGCACGCTTTCCTCTGCATTTGGAATACCAAGTTCCGTGAAATCATTAAAACGCATGATTGAGTCACAAAAGTCATATAGATATGGAAGACTTTATTTACGTTGACCGCAACACTTGGGCACACCTTTCTTTTTACTTTCTACAAACTTGAAGAGGATTATCTTCGTAAGCTTCGTTGGACAAGCTATTAGTAACATCTTTAGAATTTATTATTTATTGCAAAACGTCACATTACAACCAAATTGTATAAGCTGTTTAAAACGCAACTATTACAAGATATTAACTCAAATACAACATGGTGCAGTTTTGTATTGATCTATTTATGAATGCATACTTTTAGGGAATGCAATTACGCGAGATCTCGCGGGATTGCATTACATACATAAAATCGTAACGTCAATCTCTAATTGGTCTATCAACATGAAACCCTAATTGATATATCAGCCTGACAGACCTTTGAAGTTACGCGGTAGAGCCGCTGTTCTAAATGCAGCCCTTCCTCTACTGCAAGTGAGAAATTTTATCTGACCAAACGTTTAAAGCGAATATGAAAAGTTAAAAACAGTACTGATATATTTCAATGCGTTGTTTCTTATCAATTAGGTTTTATAATTAACGAACTTTAGATTATGAACAAATAGTTAGATAACTGATTAGTTACCTCCTAACTTCTAAGATTTTTAATGAGACTATTCGATGATGTAATTATTCATTGAACGGTAGAACGAAATGTTGTGACAGACTATGAGTTAAAAATATAAAACAAACTATGAGTATGACTAAAAGTTAAAAATAAAAAGTCTTATTACACTTTCCCGAAAATATGTAGTCTTACAGATAATGCAGATGCGGTAAAATAAATATCGTACTATAATAATTGTCATTTGAATTCATTTAAAATTTCATATCTGTTGAATATCTTTCTAGTGTTATATTAAACAAATATTTAAATACTAATGATATTTAAAAACACGCACATGTGTTGCTTATGTGATGTGAAATAAATAGAAACATGTGAACGAACTGTCAAATTAGTCTTCTCTTGGACCGAACCATCTGTATGCACTTTACCATGAATGTTGTAATAATTTGTTGTATTACAACAAATCATATAATACATATACTTCTAGCCCAAAAAGAGGAAAATTAAGTAAGCAAATATTAGAGTTAGCTTAGAATTAGTTAATATAGTGTTAAGTCACGCGCGGCCTCTCTTTGTTTGGCTTTGCTTCTATTATTAAATAACCTAACAAACCGAACGCCGGAAGTCAATTTATTTTACCTTATTTTTTTATTAAAATTTTAGTTGTTTTATTTGACAAATAAAAACGATGGAAATTGATACAGGTTTTTTTTGAGATTTGTCTATTTAAGAAATTATATTCACATTGCTCATATAGAAAATATTCTTCGCCCGAGTAAATTATACGTATGGTGTAGTTTCCGTGTATGAAATAATTTTCATTATTGGATCAGTATACCCCCCACAAACACTAACTTTGAATACTAAGTAAGTATAATTATTTATTCTGCGTTTTATAGATTAATTACCAATTTCACAGATGAGCACCGATCAGCGGGTGGCAGTTGGGAGGAACCCGTGAGCGCCGTGAGGAACACACCACTCAGGCGCTCGCAACGACTCAACTCCACCCTGGATTCCAGGTACCTTTCTCCTATGTTAAAGTTAAATTACATTTGTCTATAATACGAACACTAGCGGTCATCTCTAGTTTGGTCAAGTAAGCTGGCGTAAAAAATACGGATTTAGAAGATCAGTTGTGATCAAGATCAAAGTTGCGGATACATATATAATAGTTCGATTAAACAACCTAGATACTTTTCGTTCTTTTAGCAGAACAACAACTACATTGCGATAAATTCAAAAACATTTGGATATCATAAGTACTAGCTCCGGATAAAATGTACTTCCAATAATTTTCGTAATATTAAATAAATAATTTTTCGAAATAAAATAATGCGTAGTATATAATTGTGTAAAGATATATAGGTAGGTATAAACAATCAAATCTTTCCACTTTATAATATTAGTACAGATGTAAAATATTCTTATATATTTTCTCTAAACGCTTAAATTAAAGTCAATTTAGAAGAAGCACGGAAATAGTTTAGTGACAGGTTTAAGTATGATTGATGACGGTGTAGAAATTAGACGCATTTTTCGTTTCTTGAGGGGGATCTCGCAAGCCGTATACCCGCATAGATACGTAAAAGTAGTGTAAACTATCCGTAAAGCTCCTAATATCCATAAAAATAAAGTGCCTATAAAAATATAGCCGTTTATAGGTTTTATTCGTTTAATATTTTTTAACGATTAATATTTAATAATATCACAGCTACGAATTTATCAACAGTAGAGAGGAACTAACGAGTTATGGAATATTATCCTTAATGTAACTGAAATTCTTTTCTAAATTGTTCTTAATAGAAAAAAATACGATAGGTACTTTAAAATATGTAAAACAGACGAGTACAATTTCCGGGTCGTTTAAAAAATACTCCCAAAGTATGTGAGGTATCTATCTCTTAGAAAGATAAATTAAAACAAAAGAGAAATAATTAGTTTACTGCACAATAAATTCCCCGTTTGTCTAAAACTTAGTTCGTTATATATGTGCGATATTTTAGAAAATATCAAGGTTTTTGTTCCAGACCCGAAAGTTGCTCGTCATTTGATAAGAGAAATCAAGAATTTATTGAGTTCATGCATTCAAGGTCTTTTACGGTTGAAATCAGGCCAATGTGAGTTTAAAACAAGTATTCATCGTAACTATAAAAATAATATAAAATGTAATGTAAGTGATACGTTATATCGTTGTTACATTACATTTCGTGGTCTACACTCTGTAATGATGACGAAACTACGACTCATATTTAAAAGTCGGTACGGTATTATATGTTATAAAGCAATGTGAAGTTCTTATAATAGAAAGCATATTCTGTAATGAAATCCAATAAATCACTATTTATTCAAATAAGTTTATTAAAAAAAAAACATATTTGATTCTTTCAATATTTTTTACTGCATTCGGAACATCTTTTTCTTTTGAGTGATGAGTGATAAGACCAGATGGAAAATTCACATTTCTGTGACCTTTTATGTACACCAAATCAATGCCACGCGACAGCAATAATTTTCGTCAAACCCGATTGTTTGATTTCCATATGAAACTTGTATAAAAGTATCTAAGGATCTCATACAGAAATTCACATCTAAAAATCCATTTTATATTACGTTTTAAATATAAAATATACGAATACAATGAAAGTTGAGTTTCTCAAGACAACAAATATTTAACCCACATTGATTCTAACGAAATCTTTCGGCATGAATATATGCAACCAAATCGAAGCAAAAATGGCTGTATGCGCCAAAATCAAGTCCTACCCACGTTAGTTCATTCGTTTACCAAAAATTTACGATGGAACGTAATTATGCCGTTCGAAACGTTTTGCCTGTACTGTTGACAGTTGGCACATGCCACTTCCTCTGGTGTGGTCTGGCGAGCAATTAGCGACGCTCTGCGGCAATTAACACGAATTTCCTGTCCGATGCGAAGGGGCACTGCCACCAAGCCACAGCTTAGCTAGAACAATGGCCTGGTTACTACGGATTTATGTGAATCTGTTAAAATTGCCTTAGACCAAACAAGCGTTTTATTATGAAAAATTTATCTGTGCAGAAATTAACACGAGGTTCACTTTTCCAAATTACAAATAATATATCTGTCGGAAAGTAATTCTAAGATTTAATTGACCGGTCGGGACTATGTATTAGAAAACACCTCTAGAAGTTGTTGTCTTGTTGCGAAATTATTGAATGTAATTTTTTCCTCAAAGTTCAGTACTTTGAGGTAAAAATTACATTCAATAATTCGACGCAGACAATGCCTGAGTGGCCGGAATTAGTAAACCAAATAAAAGTGATTTCAACTTAACATTTAATGCGTTTGCGATCGGAAATATGAGGTATCATGCTTTATGATTGATTTACTTGAGAAATTCGTGAAGAAAATTTTCAACTTTTTGCACATACAAATTAGTCTTTGTTGAAACAAGATACATAGCACTCCAATTGATAAAGGAATCGTGTCGAGGCTAGGGCGGCGATAGTATGTGATTATCTCGCTTGTACTCCTTCAAGCCCCTATTGTCGACAAACTTGGTATCTATTTACATAAGTTTACATTAAAGAAAATATTTCATTTCCTTTTTTTATTTCGCATCTAAACTATGTAGGTTTTTCACAGAGCGATTGCACTTCATTCCCTGGATACTCCGACATCCAACATCCATTCGGGTTGACTGATAGACAATGCCTTTAGTATTAAGTCCGCCGTTTGTGTTATATTATAAGCGACAAAAAGTAAATAAAAATAAACAAAATACTATATGATGACAGCGATGGTGTGATTGTTTTAGAATGTCAACACTGCTTGGTACGGGTGGACTTTACATGTAATATACTTCTAATTTACGTAACTTTTGCAACAATAATTGTTGAAACATCATTACTTACAAAAAATAGACTACACAAATGGTAACAAATTCCTTGTATTAAAAATAAAGCGACTTTCTTTGCTCAGTCGAATTTCTAACTCAGTTAAGGCAGATCTTCCATAAAGTTACCTATGTTACATACAAAATAGCTATTGTGGGTATAATTTTTACTTTGATCAATTAAAACTGTAATTGATAGGGATGGTAACAATGAAGCTGAAATGCGCTCTCTATAAATAGAACTAGCCGAATCTGAAACTGGATTATTAACAATGATTGTTTTGTCATTGAGTGTACAGTTTTTATTTTTGTAATTGGGGTCAAATGGCTGTTAGCTCTATAAAGTACGAACAAACAGAGGAAATTACTTTTTATGCCATTCGTTAATAGTTCATGGTATAAACAAGCTATAACTTGAATATCCTGCACCGTGAGGTGATATAATGGAATTTGATATTTGTAACAAACTAGGGACGCTACAATAATTTACATAGTAAGGTATAGGTAAGCAATATGGCATTGACATACATTTCTCGAACCTAGGCTCAAATTATGTTATAAAATCAAATTGACAGTACAGATTTTTGCGTAAAAATAAGTAACTGTCGCCAAGAAATCAATTTGACTGCCGAGGATAGGGAACAATGTAAAACACTCCACTGACAAGATCTCTTTAATGTTAAGTAAATATTATGTTTACCGTTCTAAATATATAAGTATACGTATGCATGTTTTTATCGTTAACTGTCACTTCACTAAACCATCTGATAAGTGATAACTAAAAGGTTCTCACGTTAGTTGACTGGCACTGATTAGATGAACCAATTCTAGTTTATATATATATATATATATATATTATATATATATATATATATACAAAGAAAAGGTATTTTGTTCAAACACTGCACGAACGGAGTCATTCCTCACCTAACAAAGACGTACAGTAGTATTATATGTGATAATTACCTGTATGAATTATAATTATAATTGTAATATAGCCAGCTAGCCCTCGCCTCATTTACTTTACACCTCGCAAATGAATGATAGGTTGCATTAGAATTCGTACAGCGTGTACATGTGTTTTTATACAAACAATTCTTTAATTCGTTTCTTCCGCTTAGTTCGACGCGGTCGATGAGGATTGATGTGCGTAACCCTAACTGTTTACTTTAGTTTGTTTTGTTGACTTCTTTAATACTTTTCCAAGTCCTCATTATTTAAATCATAATCTAAATATTAAATCATCGATTGATAGATATTATTTTAAATGAATCGTGTAACGTATATTTATATGAACTATGCTCATTAACATTCTTAAGATCCTCCACGTTGATAAACAAACAGAAAGGAATACGTACGATCTTCAATTTCTTCATTGACGCATATTCGATTCACTAATTTGGTCGTAACTTTATATTTATGTATCGATTACTTTATTTATGTATCGATTTACAGTAATGTAACAAGTTCTTTATCAAAGACCAAGAGATGTTGGAATGCCGTTGTGTTATTGTACATTAACTGTTTTATTATGTAGGAAATGTTTATTCCAATCAGACTTTTTTAATTTATAAACTGCTACAATGGTCATACATAGTTTTGTTACTTAAAATACAATTAATATTACTTATGAACAAAATTTTTGATAGAGGCGTAACTTTTTACTTTCAATCAATGTCGAATCACTAGTAAAAAAAATATATATATACCGCGTGTTACAAAAAAACCCGTTACCCCGAAAATGGCATTGAGTATACATAAAACTGAGATAATGGACGCTGTCCTTTATATCGTAGCCATTGTATTTATTGAAAAAAACAATATCGAAGTTTAGCAAAATTTTCGATACCATTTATCGAAGCACACCGACATTATGATCAGCTGTTTCAGTTCATTGACTTCTAAATCAAAGACTATTATTTTGCCAGACTGGTTATATCTACTGGTATTTTGTGCCTACGTCACAGTACAGGGAAATAATTTATCTAGTTATGTGTACATACGCAAATATTCGAACATGCAAAATATTACACGAAAACATTATTTTAAAACTATTTCCAAAATTCGTTTTTATTCAGATTAGAGCTCCCTTTACAATATACCTTGCCATATTACTATGCCCGTGCTACGCACATATCAGGCAC